ACTCAGTAAAATATACTGGTAGGTGAACATCAGTGTGAAGACACTTGATCTACTAACTTCTACCTTAAGTTTCATTGTGTTCCAGTTGTCAAAGTGATGATCAGACGCTGTTAGCCTGAGTTACCTCTGGCTTTTGGGTACCTGCTTTTCTGTTTGAGGAAGACTGGAAAGTGTACTAGGGATGAGTAAAGGTGTGTGTTTTCAAAACTGATAAGTGTCCAGGTTTTTAACCTGATATTGACTGAAAATCTGAAGTCATTTCCCTCCTTTGGGTTATCAAGAAGTTAACTCATACATTCATTCATTTACTTGTTAACATAGTCAAAACATACTTCAGTGTCTTACCATGTACTAAGTACAATTCTAACACTGGGGGTATAATATGGAATAAGAAAAGAAGGTCCCTGCTGCCAGGCCTGGTGGCTCACGCCTGTAATCCCAGCACTTTGGGAGGCTGAGGTGGGCAGATCACGAGGTCAGGAGATCCAGACCATCCTGACCAACATGGTGAAACCCCATGTCTACTAAATAAAATACAAAAATTAGCTGGGTGTGGTGGCGCATGCCTGTAATCCCAGATACTCTGGAGGCTGAGGCAGAAGAATCGCTTGAACCTCGGAGGTGGAGGTTGCAATGAGCCAAGATTGCACCACCGCACTCCAGTCTGGTGACAGTGAGACTCCATCTCAAAAAAAAAAAAAAGAGAAAAGGTTCCTGCCTTTCAGAATAAGTATAGGATTCCAAGTGTTAGTAAGTATTCAGAAAGACAACATGGAGTCATAGGATAGAGTTCCAAGGTAGGGTTGGAATGAGTGATGTCTTTAGATCAGTGGCCAGTGAAGAATCAGAACAAAGAATATTCCAGTCTAAACAAGCTTGGGATAAAGTCATTATGTCTGAAGGGCGCATAGTTGGGGATCAAGGGTGGTGATTGTTAGAAATGTTGGGAATTCCAGCAATAACCAGATTGGTATAGGGTCTTACAGTGCAAGGAAAGGAATTTGAATTTCTTTCAGTTGCCTTTAAAAACAATTTAGGGCCGGGCGCGGTGGCTCAAGCCTGTAATTCCAGCACTTTGGGAGGCCGAGGTGGGTGGATCACGAGGTCAAGAGATCGATACCATCCTGGTCAACACGGTGAAACCCCATCTCTACTAAAAATACAAAAAAATTAGCTGGGCATGGTGGCGCGTGCCTGTAATCCCAGCTACTCAGGAGGCTGAAGCAGGAGAATTGCCTGAACCCAGGAGGCGGAGGTTGTGGTGAGCCGAGATCGCGCCATTGCACTCCAGCTTGGGTAACGAGCGAAACCCGTCCCCCCAAAAAAAAAAAAAAAAAAAAAAAAAACGAAAAACAATTTAAAGCCAAGGCTGGGCATGGTGGCTCACACCTGTAATCTCAACACTCTGAGAGGCTGAGGTGGGAGGATTGTTTTTGGGCCCAGTAGTTCAAGACCAGCCTGGGCAACATAGTGAGACCTCATCTCCCAAAAATTAAAAAAGAAATCAGGTGTGGTGGCACACACCTATAGTCCCAGCTACATGGGAGGCAGAGGCAGGAGAACCTTGAGCCTGGGAGATCAAGGTTCCAGTGAGCTGGGATTGTGATATTGCACTCTAGCGTGGTTGACAGCGTGACATGGTCTCTGAAAAAATAAAGGCAGGAAATTTATTGGCTGTTATCCAGCTGCCTTTGTAAATTAAACCACCCCAAATATTGTTGATTGTCATCATCCTTGCTTATTATATGTAACTGTTGTCATAGGTTTTTTTTTTTTTTTTTGAGACAGTCTCACTCTGTCACCCAGGCTGGAGTGCAGTGGTGGCTCACTGCAAACCCCCCCCACCCCCGTCCCCGGGTTCAAGCAGTTCTCCTGCCTCAGCCTCCCTGGTAGCTAGGATTACAGGCATGTGCCACCACACCCAGCTAATTTTTTTTGTATTTTTAGTAGAGATGGCATTTTGCCGTGTTGGTCAGGCTGGTCTTGAACTCCTGACCTCAAGTGATCCACCTGCCTCAGCCTCCCAAAGTGCTGAAATTGCCATGGATTTTAAAAAGCAGGGAGGCCAGGCACAGTGGCTAGTGCCTATAACCCCAGCACTTTGGGAGGCCAAGGTGAGAGGATTGCATTAATTAATTAATTAATTATTTGAGACAGAGTTTTGTTCTTGTTGCCCAGGCTAGAGTGCAATAGCACAATCTCGGCTCGCTGCAACCTCTGCCTCCTGGGTTCAAGTGGTTTTTCTGCCTCAGCTTCCTGAGCAGCTGGGATTACAGGTGCCCACCACCACGCCTGGCTACTCTTTTTTGTTTTTTTTAGTAGAGATGGGGTTTCATCATATTGGCCAGGCTGGTCTCAAACTGCCGACCTCAGGTCATCCACCCATTTCAGCCTCCCAAAGTGCTGGGAATTATAGGCGTGAGCCACCATGCCCAGCTCAGAGTATTGCTTTTGAGCCCTGGCATCTGAGACCAGTCTGGGCAACAAAGACTTCGTCTCTACAATAAATAAATAGGCCAGGTGTGGTGGCTCACGTCTGTAATCCCAGCACTTTGAGAGGTTGAGGCGGGAAGACCTCGAGGTCAGGAAATTCAGGATTGAGACCATCCTGGCCAATATGGTGAGACCCTGTCTTCCACTAAAATACAAAAAGTTAGCCGGGCATGGTGGCAAGTGCCTGTAGTCCCAGCTACTTGGGAGGCTGAGGCAGGGGAATTGCTTGAACCCTAGAAGTGGAGGTTGCAGTGAGCTGAGATAGTGTCACTGCACTCCAGCCTGGACTACAGGGCAAGACTCTGTTTCAACAAAAAAAATATCGAGGCTTGGTGCTGAGGAGTTCCAGGTTGCAGTGAGCTATGGATAGTGCCACTGTACTCCAGCCTGGGTGACATTGCAAGAAATGTCTCAGCAAAAGACAGGGAGATTATTTAATGTGATTGATTCAGTTGGATGAGCTTGTAAAATGTTATATAGCTAACTAGACCTAGTTGGCTTTCAGAAGTCACATCAAGTAATTAGGTTTTGGGCTGCATGGGGAGGTGGTTAGTAGTTTTGATGTCTGCATGGTGGGCTTGAACTGTGATCCTGAGATTTGTTTCCAGTCTCCTTCCCATATGGAGAGATTATTAGTTTCAATGGAGTTGATTGTTGATACACTGGTATTTTGGAAGAACGTTTTATCCCTAGATATGTTGGGACAAGAGATCTAACTGAAGGAGAGGATTTTATACCATATGCATTACGTTCTAATGCTGGCCACATCTGAAGGGCACATGGCAGCTGACATGAAATTGATTTTCTTCATCACTGAGTGGCCTTTATGCAGGCTCAGAGGTGCATCAGAATCCACAAATGAAATGGACCAAGATTAGTGACCAACACATCTGTAAATGTTATGTTTTGTTGTATTTTAGTTCCATAGCATTTTCTACTGTAGAATAAATTATTGACCAGTTTTCTACAGTCAGATTCCTGAATCATGTTTGTTTGTTTTGCTCTTGTCGCCTGGCCTAGAATGCAGTGTGGCACAATCTGTGGTCACTGCAACCTCCGCTTCCCAGGTTCTTCTGCCTCAGCCTCCTGAGTAGCTGGGATTATAGGCGGCTGCCACCGCGTTTGGCTCATTTTCGTATTTTTAGTAGAGATGCGGATTCACCATGTTGGCCAGGCTGGTCTGAAACTCCTGAACTCAGGTGATCTGCCCCCCCCCACCTCCCAAAATGCTGGCTTTCCAGGTGGGAGCAGTGCGCCCAGCCCTCATGTTGGGCTTTAAAACCCACTTTTTTCCCCCCGAACTCTCACCTCATCTTTCTATTTATGAAACCTTTTTAGGGTGTGGGTGGTGGTGGATAAGCTGCTTTGTTTGGATGGTGGTGTGTTGTACTTGTGTCATCTTCACTCATAAACGCTGCACTGCTTATAGCCTGTTTTGTTCGTGTTTTAAGTTCTTCCATCCAGCCCCTGCACCCCACCTTTTAACTTCTTTTTCAAAAGCTGCTTTGCAAAGGGTCTTGACTAAAGTTGCTTGCTTAATGAATTTGGGATTATGTGAAGCAGTTTAAGGATGAGAGAAGAGGCAGCAGCTGGACCCTCTAGAGAATGTTACTTTGTATTTTGTTTACAGCTGGTTGTGACTAGGCTCTTCCCTCTAAGGTTGGTTCTAGGGAATTAAAACAGCCCTGGCTGATGGCGCCCAATAAAATAAAACAAAAAAAAACCTTTGCTGCTCCAGTTTTTTCTCAGGGTGGGGTCGGGGTGTACTTTCAGTCTCCATGGTCACAGAAAGGTTTCTTCATCGCTGACCCTGGGAGGCTGGTTCCCAGAGGGAACTTGTCCTCAGCGTCTCCTGAACAATGCAGCCTCCTCCCGGGCCTACTTCTGGGCCATTACAAAGGTCCTTTCACCACCTGTGAAAGGTTTTGAGTTTGGGGGAGCTCCGGGATTCTCAAGGCTACAGTGTGGACTACTGGCCCAAGGCGAAGGTTGGTTTCCAGAGGAGGGGGGTGTGTCTTCGCTGTTTTTCCTGGCATGTGTCTGCATAAACTATTTCCACAGCGTCCTGGCCGCGAGGGGGCTGGTGATTGGGTGTTTAGAGTGAGAAACCTAAAGTGGACGGCAAAATGGAGCGCGGAATACTGTCAGGCTGTGCACGTGGAGATGGCGAAACGTGGACGCTTAACAAAGTTGGCGCCACGAAGCTAAAGACTACTACCCCTGTGCTCTAGCTCGCTCCGCCTAATGGCGGGCCGCACCCCGCCGGCCGAAGCCTACGTTTGTAGTTCCGCCCTCACGCTGACCTCTTGCCCAATCAGCGAGTTCGGCTTCGCAAGGTTGATGCCCATTGGCTTTCGCATAAAAGCTCCGGGGTTACTGACGTTTCCACCTCTTCCCGGCCTGTCAGGTGATTGGCGTCCGTGGTAACCAATCAGGAAGAGTATCTGCAGGAACGCCTGCCCTTCACTTTATTGAGTGGCCAATCCGATTGTAGACTCGCCTCCCCCCTCTACCCAGAGCCACTGCTGCGGCCGCCGCCATTTTAGCGTTTTGTCAGAAGCGTCCGCGCCGCGAGGAGGAGGCCCTGCTGATTTCTGTGCGGGTGAGACTCCGAGACCTTCCACTGCCATTCTTGTAGTCTGTTAAATCTTACCTCACTCCCTTGGGCTTCGGGGGTGTCCTAGTGGGGTTGCGTCCTCCACATCCGTCACTGAGAGCCGACCTCGGTCCTCGGCATTGGCGCGGTAAGCCGGGAGCAGCCCTTCCCCCACCGCCCCCTGAGAATACCTTGCGTTTTTCCCCCACCTTGCCCCGCGCCCGACTTGGCTGCACTTGGAAGCCTGAAGATTTCCACTGGGATAAGCCCCTTTCCCTTATACCTGGCAATTGCAACACTGTTTGGAGAATTTTTCGGGCTTTGAGATCTCGTCTGGTCAGTGAATCTGAAGCTCTCCTGTGGCCACGCATTTCAGTGTTGTGCGGAAACTCAGACGGTGCCCGAGAGAGGCATTCTCCACTCCAGTAATTGCTTTATCCTCCACGCCTCGCTGTCTGATCCGAGTCGCGCGTTCACTAAAGGAAACTCTGAAATGTAGCTATTACAAGGCTCATTTTTCCGGAAATGATGGCTGCTTTGGTTATTACGTGAGGAAAAGCCTGTTGATAATTTCAGGCAGGCAGTCAGCAAGCCTAAGTAGACTTCTGTTTTTTTTTGTTTTCTTCCTAGTGGATAGAAAAACCCAGTACCGCCATCTCTTCGTATGCTGTCTTTCTTGCGTATGTCTGCTGGAAGTATCAGTTCTTACCAAACCCTTTGTCTCCTAAGGACCTCCCTATTGCAGACGTCTTCTCATTCTTGCAGGTTTTATGGCGGCTACTATAGCAGGCCTTAGTTCACGCCTACTTCCCTTTGGTGGTTGTGTGGAGGTGTCTGTGCAGGCGTGTGAGAGAGAAAACTGGAACTGCACATTAAAGTGAAAGTCATTTTGTTGTTTTTTGTAAACTGATGTGGGTCTAAGGTCTTTTGTCAGCAATCTTGTTTTTCTCTCCCAGGCTCTTGTCAGGATGGTGAAGCTGTTCATCGGAAACCTGCCCCGGGAGGCCACAGAGCAGGAGATCCGCTCTCTTTTCGAGCAGTATGGGAAGGTGCTGGAATGTGACATCATTAAGAATTACGGCTTTGTGCACATAGAAGACAAAACTGCAGCGGAAGATGCCATACGCAACCTACACCATTACAAGCTTCATGGGGTGAACATCAACGTTGAAGCCAGCAAGAATAAGAGCAAAACGTCAACAAAGTTGCATGTGGGCAACATCAGTCCCACCTGCACTAATAAGGAGCTTCGAGCCAAGTTCGAGGAGTATGGTCCGGTCATTGAATGTGACATCGTGAAAGATTATGCCTTCGTACACATGGAGCGGGCAGAGGATGCAGTGGAGGCCATCAGGGGCCTTGATAACACAGAGTTTCAAGGTGAACCACCCTCTTTGGGTAGAGGGCTGAACATAAGGCTATGTGCAGAAAATAGTTGGATAAGTAAAAGGAGGGATTTGGAAAAGATAACAGCTGTTGGCTGGCTGGTGGTGAAGAATTAAACATGGGTGATGGACTTCCTAAGATGGAGAACGCATGGGACTTAACAGGCTTTACCGTAGGCAGATGTCTCATGGAGAAAAACCACTCAGCTTTTATTTGGAGCCCCTAAGGCTTTTGTGTTCATCAGTGCAGAAATCGTTTTTGTTTGTTTTTTTTTTTCCTTGTAGTAGTAGTAGTAGTAGGGCACAGTTCAGAGTACCTCACTCTGAATTTCTTGCCCTCAGCACCAGATTAGAATTAGGCATTTTACGTGAAGAACCTTGCAAAAACAGGTCAAGCAACGTGTTCGTAGGAGCAGAATTCTTGTTAAGCTATCCTACCTTACACTAACTCTTTAAAAGGTTACAGCTTTTGTTGCTTTTGTATTATACCTGTACCTAGGGGTTGTGTTTGAGTATAAGGCCACTGTAGAATTAGAAGGCTGATTTTAGGACTTCTGGGCAGGAGGCATTGGGATTTTAGGGGCAGTAAAATGGTTTGGGGGCTGGACATTATAATATCTTTGGTGAATAGAGCACTTAGATTTGTTTTATCTTGGAGCCTTGACCAAATGAAATTTTTTGTCCTGGAGGGCAGCATGGGTGATGTGGATTGTCATTTCATTTGGAAGCATCTCAAATCCCATACAGTTTGAATGCCTACATATTGCTCAAAGGAAATGCTTGTTAGAGCATTTTGGATTTTTTATTTTCAGATTTGGGATGCTCAACTGGTAAGTATAATACAAATATTCCAGAATCTGAGGTCTGAAGCAACAGTCGCAGTTCAGGTGTGGTAACCATGGTGAATTGCTATCTGAACTCTCCTTCTCTCCCCTCATTTGGGTTCCCAGTATCAAAAAGAGCGTTTTCCCTTTTCAACTTAATTCAGCAGAACTGAATAAAAATTTACAAAGCCTTATCCAAATTATGGAGTATTCCCGTGACTCCTTGCTGTGTTTCAAACCTGTGTTCTGACAGTATAGTGGCTGATTCTTTTTCTGGGCACTCCCCTCATTGAGAGTCATTACTGCTGTCTTTGGTGTCCATTTCCCTTAAATTGGGCTTTTTTAGAGCTGGAGGTCTGATCATTATTTCTCCTAGTAATGGGTGCTCTGTGTCATGGGCATTGCTGTGCGTTAGTAAAGAAGAATGACACAGGTCTCTCAGGTCTAGTTTGCTTTCTTTTTTTTTAATTGGCAAGTTGAGAATTATTTTGTCAACAACTTAATTGGGAGCAGTGGCTGCTCTTGTGGAGGGTTTGTGGTGTGATACTAATTTTTGGACTCTTTCCCACATTTTAACCCAGTCAGAAGAGGTGGTGTCTGCTTGTAGCGGTTAAGTTTAAGGGGAGGACAGTGTGATCTTGATTCAGGACAGATTATCCTTATATAAAACTCCGGGGGTCTGAACCCTAGGTCCTCTTACTCTAATTTATGCCTAGGTATTTTTACCTTATTTTCTTTAATATTGGCATTTCTCATTTCTTAATACTAGTAGAGTTATGTACGTATGTTGATGAGTGGTATTTATTAGGGTGGTCTTTTTTAGTTTCAGTTTCCCAGTGTTGGGTATCTTCTCCATTGCTTGACCAATTAAAATCTCTTTTAGATGTTTTTTAGAATTTAACTTATTTTTCTGGCATTAGAGCCAACAAATCCTTAGATCAAGGCATTTATTAATGATCTTTATGTCTGGAATGTGCATAGTTGATTTCTTAGTTGCACTTGTTTTCTCTGGTTTTGGTAGGTGCCAAAGTGGCCCTCTGGGCAAATGCCAGAGTTACAGGTTAGCACTTTAAGGCACTTAAGTACTTAATTGCATATCTACTCTGTTTTAATAACCTGCAACCTAAACTTCCCAGTTGTAACGATTAAACCTAGACCTCTTTGATATTTTGGTCCTTCCACCCCGCTTGTCCCTATTGTGTTTTCTGGTCTCCCAGAACCTAACCTTAATTTTGCAGGTAAGATTTTTTGTTCACCACTTTCTCTGTTAGAGGATCCATCTGTTGACTCTCCCTTGCCGTTGACCATTTACTCCTTAAACAGGTATATGTTTAGGGTGCATCATAACCAGTTGCATTGGGAAGGTTTTGCTGGATTTAGATCTCTTCTGAATTTCCCTTAGAAGTAAGCTGGTAGATCATGTTAGGTAGAAATTGCTTCTGTGAAGACTTATTAAAACTTAGTTTTAACTTTTTTTTTTTTGCGATGGAGTTTTGCTCTTGTTACCCAGGCTGGAGTGCAATGGCGCGATCTCGGCTCACCGCAGCCTCCGCCTCCTGGGTTCAGGCAATTCTCCTGCCTCAGCCTCCTGAGTAGCTGGGATTACAGGCACGCACCACCATGCCCGGCTAATTTTTTGTATTTTTAGTAGAGACAGGGTTTCACCGTGTTAAGCAGGATGGTCTCGATCTGTTGACCTCGTGATCCACCCGCCTCGGCCTCCCAAAGTGCTGAGATTACAGGCGTGAGCCACCGCGCACGGCTAGTTTTAACTTTTCTAGAAAAGGTTTCTGCTTTTATTGCATTTTCAGAAGTAATACTTTTCATTTCCAGAATGCAAATTTTAATTTTCAGGAAAAATATTAGGTGTTTGTTCTTAGGCTCTCAGATACGTAGTTTAAGGATAAGTACTTTAATCCTGCTTAAACTGAGCAGTTTGGGCCACTGACTAGTATAACTAGTTATTCCCCACTTTCCTCAGCCACCTTTGTTCTATGGTTTTTACAGTATTTCTAAAATTTCGGGCATTTGAGAACAGCCTGCCCTGTTTTTGCCGTTTGCCTTTGACCCTAGTAGAGGTTCACTAAAATTAACTGTCAGATTGTAAAGACTCCTTGTTAAAGTGATGATCAGAACCAGCAATTTAAAGGGCCCAGTTAAGGGAGAAGGCTATACTTGTTTGTTGTGTCCTGCAGTCTCCCTAGTTCATGAGGGTTTTTCCAGAGATGTACCTTGAGATTTTCTTACATTCAGCCTAGATCATTCTTTAGTAGTGGTAATTATTGGAGTCTTTTATTCCATTCTTTTTTGATTTTTTTGAGGTGGGTGGAAAACTGGCCTTTACATTTCCTTGCTTAATGAAACATATCTTGCTAGTAAGGATTGGAGGTGTCAGAACAAACTTGGGAACTCTTTCTTTCTTTGACTTCTTTTGACATTGAGCTGCTGTTTGAAGATTTTTACCTGCAGTTACTTGGCAAAGAATAAGATGATTGTTTTGAGCAAGAGTAGGAGTAGTTTATTTCTTAGCATTTAAACTAGTGTTATAGCTGAAATATTTCTTCATCGAATTGATCTTTGCTTGAAATCAGGTCATTATACTGAATCTTTTTGTTGAATTTTTTTTTTTCTTTTTGTCTTTTGGCAAAGATGAGTTCTGCATTAGAATTGTCTTGGTAAAGCCATTGCTATGATCGGTGTCTGGGGTAGGGGCTGGGGCTATGACTAAGAGTGATAGCAACCCTTCTTGCGTCTGTTTCTTCAAGGCAAACGAATGCACGTGCAGTTGTCCACCAGCCGGCTTAGGACTGCGCCCGGGATGGGAGACCAGAGCGGCTGCTATCGGTGCGGGAAAGAGGGGCACTGGTCCAAAGAGTGTCCGATAGATCGTTCAGGCCGCGTGGCAGACTTGACCGAGCAATATAATGAGCAATACGGAGCAGTGCGTACGCCTTACACCATGAGCTATGGGGATTCATTGTATTACAACAACGCGTACGGAGCGCTCGATGCCTACTACAAGCGCTGCCGTGCTGCCCGGTCGTATGAGGCAGTGGCGGCTGCAGCTGCCTCCGTGTATAATTATGCAGAGCAAACCCTGTCCCAGCTGCCACAAGTCCAGAATACAGCCATGGCCAGTCACCTCACCTCCACCTCTCTCGATCCCTACGATAGACACCTGTTGCCGACCTCAGGAGCTGCTGCCACAGCTGCTGCTGCAGCAGCAGCCGCTGCTGCAGTTAATGCAGCTTCCACTTCATATTACGGGCGGGATCGGAGCCCCCTGCGTCGCGCTACAGCCCCAGTCCCCACTGTTGGAGAGGGCTACGGTTACGGGCATGAGAGTGAGTTGTCCCAAGCTTCGGCAGCCGCGCGGAATTCTCTGTACGACATGGCCCGGTATGAGCGGGAGCAGTATGCCGATCGAGCGCGGTACTCGGCCTTTTAAAGCTTGAGGTGAGAGCTGTGGGATGTTCCCTCTTCTTGTTTTGCCATCCCTCCCGCATCCTAAAGGGCTCCAATTAGGCTGCCCTGCTTGCTTGCTTTTGCAGGGTTAGGTTAAGGTTACTAGGATGGCTCACAGGTTAGAGAGAAGTCCTAACTGCTTAACTTTATATAAAGTTCTTTGGCCCTCATGGCTATTTTTCAGGGCTTCTGGTAGTGGGAGTCAATTTGGTTCTATTTGTGCCTGGAAAATTAAAGAATGATGTGCTGGTGAATCTTGGGTCACCTAAATACTATACTATAATTGAACCTTACCTGGAGACCCACACATTCAGGCTCAGGTGTTTTGTTTTGCAGAGCCTTTGTTAAGTTTCCTAGGTGTGTGACATTTCTAAGGTCTTCAAGTTTCCTGTTTTGTTTTGTGCTGTGTGAAAGTTCTGATGCAACCCCTAATGATAAAGTCCATAACTGTAGTTAACTGGTCATCACTGCTCAGGTCCCAGTTACTAAGAAGACTACCAAAATGGCATCATCTTAATCTTGAAGCGTATTTCTGACATTCCTGAACGGTTCAACCCTTAGGAGTTTTATAGAACTTATTTGATGGTAAGTTGGGGTAGAGAGAATTACAAAACTTGTCTTTTATAAAGTTCTACAAGGAAATTTGGGCATAGATGCTAACATCCACCTTCTTTGCCCATCTCAGATTTATTCCCTGAATAGAGTGCCCACATTGTTATATATTTCAATCTGTCCTGTAACAACCCAGCCTGTCACTCACTTAGGCTTTTTTTTTTTTTTTAAATACTCCCACAGTTCTAGTTGTGACATCATCTGCTTTCTCAGGGTATATGTTTAAGTATGCATGCACACCTGTTAATTTTACTCCTTTGGTAATGTTGAAAATCTAGGATTGGGAGCTTTGCCATAAGCAGATCACTCCCTTCTTCATCTTCTCACTAGCTGTTACGGGCATTTAATACTCTTGAGCCACCAGCTCTACCCTGAGTCCCCTGGCTTTTTCCACTATGATACATTTTGAGCCCCATGTTCCATTTGGCTCTACTTGAATATATTCTCTTCTGATACTTGCCAGCTTTGGGCTCTAGGTGTTTGAGATTATTGTTTTATACTTAAGGGTAAATCTCAATGCCCTTAGTTTTGAGTAGCTCCCAGTGTGTCCCAGACATTACCATTGATTCTTAATTACAGTAACAGTGTAAGTGATAGATAACTCATCTTTGCAGTTAGGGCAGAAGGTATGTGACTTTCCCAGGGTTGTTGTGTAGGAAATGACTGATTGGGCTGGAGAAGAAACTTCAGTGACTTGATGTGTAGCTTATACATGCCCTTCTGCACCTTCTTTCCAAAGTTAGTTTCTTCCCTAGTTGTAATGGGGTGTCCTCAGGTCTTAAAAGTTGTACAGTTGATGCTACTTTTATCTAGACTTTGAATGATTTTTAACTTGGACCTTGGCAGTAACTCCTAGATAGGAAATACTGTTGATTTTTTTTTTTTTTTTTTTTTTAACCTTAGGGAGCTAATTGGAACCTTTCCTTTTTTACTGT